CTTTAATGTTTTTTGAGAGACAAATGCTAACTAGCAATAGGTGCAGATATGGCTCATGCAGCAAGATTCCAAAACGTTCTGCTAAAGTTAGATTCGGTATAACCAGACAAAAATGTAATAACTGTACCTTAAATACCCAATTCAAGTTTATTTCCTTCTGTTTTGTCTGCCAGAAAGAAAGAAACATGACATCAATATAATCTAGGAATAAGACAGGCTCTTGAACTCAGCCATAACAAATCAAATGAAAATAACCTAATAAACCATGGCTTGATATTAATATTACCCCCCAAAATGAGCCATTTTTCTTTTTTTGGGACAGGTTCACACATCACACTCAACTAACAAATCACATTACAGGTAGTCCTCGCTTAACGATCATTCATTTAGTGACCGTTCAAAGTGACGATGGTGCTTTTAAAAGTGACCATATGACCAGTGCCCAAAGTTACAACCATTGCAGCGCTCCCATGGTCATGAGATCACAATCTGAGGACTTGGCAACCAGCTCGCACTTACGACGGTTGTAACATCCCAGGGTCACGTGATCTCCATTTGTGACCTTCCCAGACAGATTCCTGCAAGCAGGATCAATGGGGGAACCGCATGGTTCACTTAACCGCCACAAAAGTCGTAAAATTGGGTCCAGTCACATGATGATTCGCTTAATGATCGCATCGCTTAGCAACCTAAATTCCAGTCCCATTTGTGGTCATTAAGCGAGGACTACCTGTATCAAACAAATACATTCTGGTAAGGAGCAGTTCCCTTTCCATACAGTGGGTACCTGGGGTTAATTTTGTTCAATGCTTTAGGCACCAAAAACTGATTTTGAAATCTTTTTGATTAATGATTTTGAGTCTGAAAACATGCAAAAATACAGAGAGCTTTTAACACTTCTCTGTACAGTACTTTTTTTTTTTTTTAATTGCAAGGATCTGAAATTTAGAAATATATGAGAAACAAGTCTGAATTATTGAGCAGTTTATAAATACTGTAGAATAAATAAGAACCCAAACAATTAGGCTTTATGATGTATCATCTGCAGTGCTTTGGGAAAGAAAAGAGCATGTCATTCATATGGTGCATGGTATCGGACTCTTTCTGCACTTTGGTTCAGTGCACAGCCCGCTTTTCATTAGGCCTCTGCAGGAGTTCTTTATCCTTCAACACTTTCTGAACATGCTGGTTTCCATAGAGAAACATATAAATAGTAAAATAAACAGAACTTAGAATCACCATTCCATTATCTTGTGCTCAGTAAATATACTAAAGATTTGTTTACTTTATTTAAAGAACTGATTTAAATAATGATTGGAGTACTATATATTTCTAGCATCACGAACAGTGCATCTCTTCATGCTATGATAATGCAGTTCATGGCTTATAATGAAGATATAAATCGTATTATCATTAAGATTGTTGTTGTTGTCTTGCTTTTACCAAAATCATCTTGCTTTTACCAAAATCTTGCCATACTTGTAGGAAGTTCTGCAGGAATAACTGCCAGTTGTTGCTTTTTAATGATATACAGTATCTTAATTCTAGGCCTGTGATTGTCCCCTTTACTGGAAAGGTCCATTATTTTATTGTGCTGGAGGAGAGCGCACAGGATTTATATCAGTTCATAAGTTCATTGCTATGTGGCGAAAGTAAGTATGTTTTTCCAGTAAGGTCGCTTAACTTATTTTAAAGTATGACTTGAAGAATCTTTTAAGGAAAATCTGGCTGTTATCTTAATGAAAAAGACAGTTGAGGAATACCTTTTACCATTTTCATCCTCCCCCATCCCACGAAGACACATGTTGGATCTGATGTCAAATACTGTTGGAATTGATTATTTAGGTTGTTTTGAATGAATGATTTCTTTAACAAAAGAAGGCAGAATGAGACGGATGATAGAAGTTGGTGGGGGGGGGGAGATACTGCTGAATTTAAATCATTACCCATTTAAGTGTGCTATGTTCCTAAACTTCATTATGATAGGTAGAGGACAGTTGAAAGAATTTGGGATTGAGGATTCCATTGGACCCTAGGCTGAACATTTGTTCTCCTTTGAATTTGCTTAATTTTGAAGGGGGAAAGGGCAACTCTTGAGAGGGAATGAATAGAAACAAGAGGTGAATTACCTTTGAAATTTGAGATAAGAGAATTTTGCTTACCCTTGTGGGGGGGGGGGTTTCCTCTCTTTTACTTTCAAAGAACCCATGCTTGTGATCCTAGTGGTACAGGATCAAGAGCTTCGTTTTTTATATACAGTGTTATCTGACAATGTAACATTGCACGGTCAGATAATTGCATATAAATTCAGGTGGTGAACAAGGCAATCCCTTTTGCCATAGTGGGAATACGCATGAGATTTTTTTCATCTGAGTCAGAATGGTGGCTGAACCTTACATTGTGCATGGTTGATCTTTATATATGAAGACAGAGGCTGGAACAGGCAAACCATTACTCCACAATGACTGTGCAAGGCCTCTTTGAAAACAGGCATCCATCTAGTAACCTTTCCTCTTCCAAACTTTTCATAATGTTCATTCAAAAAGGGCACACACCTTGTTTATTTCAAAGGGAATAACACCTTGGGTTTCAACTTGGCCCCATACAAATGTTATTCATGCTTGTGAATACATTTTAAGGTTGAAAATAAGATATATACATTTTATATACCTGCATAAATTAGACAAATTATGCTTTGCAGAATATTACAGACCTGTCATGATGCTGCTGCCAAGTTTGTTCACCTTCTAAAGAGTCCTGGATGTAACTATCTGGTGCAAGAAGACTTCATTCCATTTTTACAAGTAAATAACATTTTTTTTTATTATTACTATTATCCCATAGAAATATGCACCCAACCACCCCTCTCCCAGGAAGCACTTCACTGACCCAGTTAGTGTTTCATTATTATGTAAGAAATCAGAAATGGCTAAGTTTAATCTACCAAGCCATTGACATACTAGCTGGTGGATATAAACTCATTAGGTTACTGGAGCAATGTGAAAACAAGAGGATACTATTTTTTATACTGCCTTCTCTCAGTGCCTTTTGATTCCTAAGCTAGGTTGTGGATTTGCCTTCCCCTTCCCTTTTCATTAGCTCTTTCAGACTCAATATATTCCTGGTTCATTTCTTTGCATTTTTTTCCTCTTGATACTGAATTCTTTTCCTAAAGAAACTGAATTTTGCATGTATTCTAATTTTCTATCTAAAAATGAAACAATGGTTATATTGTCTTGAAACAATTTGAATATTTTGCTTACGTTATTATAAATGCACCCCAGTATGGTGTTATGATTTGGCAGAATTAAATGGTTTCATAGAATAGTTGCACATAAAAATTCTGAACTGGCTGTGCTGGTTAACGTCATGCTTCTTTCATCTTTCATCCTTAGGATGTGGTCAATAGTCATCCTAGTCTAGTCTTCTTAAAAGAAGCATCAGAATTTCATTCTCGGTACATTACAACGGTAAGCACCTTCTACACAGAAAGTGTTTTTCATGTGGACCAGCTAGATGTGGTGGAGGTATTATGTTTATGTAAACAATGCACATCTATTTATATGTAAATGAGACAACAAATATATCTCATTAAAGTTAAAGATGAATGCTACCATCCATGTTCAGTTATATTAGGTTTAGTGGATTAAGTTCACAAGTGGCGGTGTTCACAGACCATTTTGTCCATTTCCTTGGGATCCACAGCCTCAAAAAACCAACAATTTTAAACACTTGGAAAATACAAAAATTCTACCATAAATACAATAAATCCTCATACCTCAGCCCCCATAAATCATCCGAGGGTGACATAGTAATTTCTGCTCCATAGTCTACAATGACTCAACAGAACAATCAAGTTTGTATAAGTTTCCAAACTATTGGGGGGGGGGACTGCTTTCCTCTTAAGGGGCCAGCTATACCATCAGAGTGGAACCCCAACAGAAAATGCTCAACAGGACAAAGAAGCCATTCTTGCTTATTCTTGCACTTAGTTGGTGACAACCATTTAAGTTTCCCCTCCCCTGTTAGAAATCACCTAAAATAATGATTTCATAATCTCCCTGCTGTTGTCTCATGCTGGAGCTCTGCATCACCTCCAAATTCATTCCTTCTTATGGCTGTTTCTTCCTGCTGAATATGGATAGCAGAGCTTTCAGCAGTATGGACACTGATCAACATTCTCAAAAAGCAGGAGCAGGAAGTAGGAAGCAGCAAAAAAGGAAAGCTCAAAAGCACTTGGAGCAGAAATGCAGCTTGGTAAAACAACCCCCTTTTCCCCCTTTCTGTTGCACAGAAATGGATTCGTCAGCTAGTGCATCCTCAAACCAAGTAGCTAGATAGAAGAAAGGAGGTGGTGGGGAATGGTTTTACTAGTGGAATGTTAATTTACCTTATAGATAAAGTAGATGGGAGGTCAGTTAATTTTTACAAATGTGGGAATAGCCTTCCACAGAGTTCTTTACTCCTTGTACCAAAGGCTTTATGACTTTACTGTTTTCTTCCACAGTGCAGAATTGGTTTGACATTGCCTTCTCACAGGTTGTTTGTTGACTTCACAGTCTAGTTGCTAGCCCTAGGATTTCCTGTGATCCAAATACATACCAGATCCAACCCAGGCCCTCCATTTTCAAGTACAGCCAAGGTTGGATAGATGCCACCATTTTCTGCAAATAGTTTGGAGGAATGTACAAAGGACTAAGTAATTTTGTTTTATTTGATTAGAGGGGGAAAGGATATAACTTGGAAAAAGACACAAATATTAATTCTCTGGATTGGTTTAGTCTTGATTGGTAAATTCTAAATATATGTACAAAAAAGAAATGTATACCCAAGCTGGTAAATATTACTGTAATATTTAAGTACTTGAGTAATAATGTATGCAGTTGGTATAATAGCTGCACTTTATATTTTCTTGCTGTAGGTAATACAGAGGATATTTTATACAGTAAACAGGTCATGGTCAGGAAGGATCACTTGCAATGAACTCAGAAAAAGCAGCTTTTTACAGGTACAGCATGCAGTTCTGTATTAAAATAAATTTTACTGATTAACTGTTCAAATGGGTTATAAATAATTAAGATATTTTTTCTTTATAGCTTACTTCTATTTAGAAATGAACTTAGGAAATTTCCATTTCTGACTTGATGGCTTTAACTTAACTTGGCTTAATGGAAACCAACATTAGCTTCTATCATATTTTTGTAAATTAAGTAACAGTAACTTAAAAGTTGCCCCACAGATTTTGGTGAACATAATGATTATTTCAAGTATAGATGCTGGTTGGTTAAGGCCTCCTAGGAAGTGATGTGTGGTTGGGTCCAAGCAGATATCAATTCATCTTTTAGTGAAGGAGTGATTCTGCCTGCCCTTAAGGAGTAGGTGGTCTGCACTCTCCTCAAAAAGCCATTGCTGATCCCAGCAGTGTCACACAATTTCTGACCATGTCCAGCATTTCCTTTCCAGGGAATGTTGTTGAGAAGGTGGTCATACTGCAGCTTCACTTGGTTTTGGAGGAAATAGATTATCTGGATTCTTTCCAGTCAGGATTATCTGGATCCTTTCCAATCAGATTTCATGCCTGGACACAGTACCAATATGGCATTGATTGCACTTGTAGATGACCTGTAGATGGCAGGACAAGAATGGTGGTGATGCATCCATCCTGGTCTTCCTTAATTGGTCTGTGACCTTTAATACCATTGAACATAGTATCTTTCTGGACTGGCTCAGGGGGTTGGGAGTAGGGGCCTCATTGTTGCAGGGATTCTGTTCCTTCCTCCAGTGCCCGTTGCAGTCAGTATTGATGGAGGAAGAGGTAGCTTTGCAGAGTGCCTTAGGGCTTGATTTTTCCCTACTTCTGCTTAACATCTATATGAAGACACTGGGTTAGGTCACCTATCAAGATACATCTCAACTCTTGGACAACCAAATGATGCCAGTGAAGTTTTGTCTCAGTGTTTGGAGACTATAGGATCTGCACAAGGAAGAACAGGCTCAGACTCAATTCTAGCAAGATTTAATGGCTGTGGATTTGGGGGCTGCCTGGATCTGGAGATGCATTTTTTCATTTATTCCATTGATTTACAGTATATAGCTACCCATCTCGCAACTGCAACTCTGGGTGGCAAACAGGATTAAAACCAACAAAACCAAAATAATAAATAATAATTGTCCATCCTTAGTTCTGTATGGTGTCACGCTGCCCACACAAACCCAGTCTGCAATATGGGGGTCCTCCTAGACTCACAGCTCCTGTTTAAAGACAAGGTGCAGTTGTGGTTCAGAGGGCCTTTGCACAACTCCATCTTGTGTGCCAGCTGTGCCATTCCTGGATCAGGAGGCCCCACTCATGGTTACTCATGTCTTGGTCTGAATTACTGTAGTGTGCTCTGGTGAGAATGCATCACAGGTAGTTATGAGCAATCTCAGTGTGCCCATGTAACATTTGCACAGGTTGCCAGTAAGCTTCCAGGGGCAATTCAGATTACTGGTCATCAGTTATAAAATCCTTCATAGGACAGGTTCTGGTTATTTGCTGGACTGCCTATCTCCAATTTCCTCTGTCCGTCCAGTAAGATCTGACAGGGTTCACATGCTCCAGGTCCTGTCACTTAAGCAATGTCATCTGGTGGGACCCAGGAGATGTGTCTTATTCTGTCACCATGCCTCCCCCATGGAACACCATTCCCCATGAGATCTGAATGGCTCTGACCCTGCCTACCTCCTGAAAGATTTTGAAGATCTGTCAGGAGGTTTTACGAGCCCACCTTGATTTATGGTTTCTGCTTGTTTGAGCTGCCTCGGATGCAATATGCATTATTCTATTTTATTCTTTTGCTAGTTGCTATTAGTCATTTTTACTTGTCTATGCCATCCTGAGTCTCATGTTGAGTGACTATATAAACTGATTGATTGTGTATCAATTGTTGATGCTGATATGTAAACTAGACACTATAAACTATCTGGTGTTAAATTAAATCATTGAGGACCTGGAGTAAATTCACAATGAGGTTAAGATATTGGAGACTTCAAACTGTTATAACCTATCCCAACCAATGAGATTAATGTCTTAATTTTCTTAATGTTTCTCTCTCTCAATAGAATGTGGCATTGTTAGAAGAGGAAGTAGATATTAACCAGCTGACAGAATACTTCTCTTACGAGCATTTTTATGTAATTTATTGCAAATTTTGGGAGCTAGATACAGACCACGATCTTTACATCGACCCAAAGGATTTAGCTCGACATAACGACCATGGTATGATATGATATGACCAAAGGAACAACTTAGTTCAAAATAAGACTATATGAATGTTCACTGAAATCTTGGAAAATGTGTAATTCTCACCATCATCCTATAGTGTGATAGATATTGTTTATATACATATGGGTAAACAACCTATAAAGGTGTGTAAGTTGCATATATAGGATGGTGTATATATGTCAGAACACATTTACATTTCTGGTGTTCATAGTATTGAGAATTATTCTGAGCTTTTGTAGTTTTCCACCTTTCTGTGGACCTGTAGTAGGGAGATGGCAGTGTTCTAAAAAAGTAGAAATTAAAGTCTGAAGTTTATTCAGTACAGATGCACATTATTTCCTAAGAGATCAAAGACCAGTTTATTATGTGTCACTTTAAGAGCAACGATGCTTAAAAAAATGAATTAAAATGAGTGCTTGTATTTTTCTTCTGTTAAGCTTTCTGTCTTCTGAAGTGCTGCTTATCAAAAGGTTATCTGTGGTATAGTGGCCATTTGGCTAGTACCAGTGCTGAATTCTTTGTTAGTTTAAACACTTGCACCAGTGTAATGATGGGGCATCCTGAAAGCTATTGAGGAGCTGCAAACAAAGAGGCTTTTTCTAACTGCTTTTTGTTATTATTATGTCCGTACTGTTAAACCTCTAGATTAGCTAACACTGGATGTTGAAACGCTCTCTTTGGCAAGAATGGGCAGTGTATCAATGGCTGTGGAATGGGGCAGTTTCTTCCACAGAGTGGGGTTTTCATTCTTCCTTTTTAAACCCTGCTAAGCCTATTTTAGAGTTCAAATCAGGTACAAATAAACAGAGCAAAAATGAATTTGCAATTTGGAATGTGCAGAGGATTCCCAGGGCCTCACTTAACCAAGTATCCTTCAAATGGGGAAGGACCAGCTGAGCCAACATGCTATATATATGCACGTGACATATACATGTTGTGTGTATCTATGCAGCAGCTGTCCTTGTTCCCACAGTGGGAAAAGTGGCATCGTATCACTGATACTTGAGGAGAGGGGTATTGAAAGAGGGCTCATCTTTGTGGGATGAGCATTGCAACAAGCTTTGTCTTGATTTCTCCTCAAGGTGATGTTTTCTGTGCTCAACACCCAGGATAAGGCAATGTAGCTTCCTGCTTACAAATTCAGTAGCTGCAGGAAGGAAGCGCATCAAGTTAGCTTCATGTATTGCAGCAGAAAAGCAAGATATATTTTTAAATTCAGATTCACTAATGGTCAGGGAAAAGTAAATCCTTATAGCTACCCATATTGAATAGGAGAAATATACTGTAATATATTTTTTCTAAGTAACTGCCGATGCTCAGTTTAAAAATGGGTGAATTAGCACAGCTTTAAAAAGTATAAATGAATAAGTTCAGACATGACCGAATTAAATGTTACTTTTTTACTTTTTTCACAGCTATATCTAATCGGATGATAGAGAGGATTTTTTCGGGAGCTGTAACAAGGTGTCTTTTTAAAAAAAAATATATATATATATATATATATCGTTTTCCGTCATGTAAATTATACGGCAAAGTATATAGTGCTACTGAACTCCAATAAAAAGTCATTTTACTATAAAAAATATAAATAAAATATGAATAAATCAATCTGGCCTCTCAAGTTAGCTGATCATTTTTTATAGAAACTCTGCTATACAAACCACCGGTTATACTAGTGTACAATAAATACCTTAAATTAATGCTTTCACATTGCTTATGTGTAGAGGATATGCAAGTGAAATATTGTTTACTATGTCCTCTGTTTTAAATTACCACCCACCAATATTGCACAGTTGTATAATCTTGCTGCAATTGAGCAATGCAGGCTCCTGCTTGCAACCTGAGCTGTCAGTTGATGTCCTCAGCGATGGAACCTCAGCTCAAGCTTTGGATTTTCAACTTTGAAATATAGTGGCATTCTTTACCGAAGGAGACAGCCCCTCCTGTAATTTTCTCCATAGGATACTTTGCAGTAAGGAGCAGCGTTAAAACATTTTTAATCAAATATTTTCCTAGTAGAAAATCAGAGGAACATGTAAAACAACTGTGTTTTATAAAAGCCTTACTTCATACAGTATTATATAGTTATGCACAATTGTATACTGTCTTTCTATCCACGGGACAGTCAAGACGTAATCAAATATAAAGCTAGCAAAATTAATGCCAATATTATTAATCCATCTCAAAAAGTCTTTACCTCTTTCTGAATATGGAAAGTGAGGCCTAAGGGTAGGCCCATTTAATTGTAGGCCTAAGGGTAGGCCAAAAACGACTCATCATGATAACAGAAAGGATTAGATGCGGAGATAAAATGAGAAAACCTCCTATATTCTGTTCTGTACTTGGAAGAAATGCCAGATACAAATGATTAAAAAGAAACCCTCTGTATTCTACTGTGTTTGGAAAGCGCAGAAGCTATTTGAAACTCTAAAGTTAAGGTGGTGCATATACACGTGTATCTTCTCACCCTTTTTAAATCTTAATTTCAAAGGGGAAAGAAAGCACAGAGAGAAGGAAAAATCAGCTATGCAGATTTTGTGTGGTTTTTGATATCAGAGGAGGACAAAAAGACTGCCACTAGGTAAGAAAAAGTGGTTTTGCAGGCTTGTCTTTCACAAGACTATAATGTTATGCTGCTATCAAATTTAAATCATCAGGATACTATTTGACACTACGTTAATTATAACTGCAACATAGTTTACAGAGAACCAGTTTGGTACAGGGAGTCCTTGCTTACCAACCACTCGTTCAGCAACCATTCAGAGTTGCAACGGTGCTGAACGAGTGGTACTTACAACCAGTGCTCAAAGTGCCAGCTGTCACATCATCCGCGCAACCACGTGATTGCGATCCAGGCACTTGGCAACTGGCTCACCCTTACAATGGTTGCAGTGCCCCGCAGTCACGTGATCGCCATTTGCAGTTTTCCCTGCCAGCTTCCCACAAGTAAAGTCAATGGGGAAGCTGGCTGGGAAGGTCGCAAGTAGCTCCGGTAACTCCCCCCCAGCCTCCCTGCGGTCACACAACACCGCACCTGCTTCCCCCAGCTTCCCTACGCTTGCAAATGGCCTGTTTTGGGACTCCCAGGGCCTCCCCCACCGTCCACCCCCACAGCACTCCCACACTCCTTACCTGGAATTCCCAATTTCCTGCTTAACGACACACACATCTTGGGGTTACGACAACAACCAGGATTGCCAGGATTGTTGTCACTAAGTGACATTCATGTGACATCCCACTTTACAACTGCAATTCTTAGCAACAGCAATCCCAGACCCAGTTGCCATCCAGAAACTGGGAGGCTGTGAGTTCTAGTCCTGCCATAGGCACAAATCCAGCTGGGTGACCCTGAGCCAGTCACTCTCTCTCAGCTGTAGGAAGGAGGCAATGGCAACCCACTTCTAAAATCTTGCCAGAAAAACTTCAGGGACTTGTCCAGACAGGAGTCAACACAAAGAAAAATTATTAATTACCCAGCTGTTAGAGAAAAAGAGAACAAGAGAGAAATATAGGATCTGTGGAATCAAGCACTCCTTGGAGCTCTACTTCATATTGCCTGCATGTAGGTGGAGGAGGCAGAATAAATGCTTCTTGCATAATCTGAGAAAATGTTCATATATTAGCACAGGGTGAAGCATAGTGCCCAAAGTACCAAATCATGTGAACGTAAGGAGTCCAGGCAAAATGAACACGCATAAGAAGTTTCTATGGATTATCTTTTGGTGTTGCCAGAATAAAAGCCTTGAGATAAAGATGTCTTGAATTTTTAGTCGTTCGCTGTGCTTTTGTATTGCTTTTAGTCATTCAGTGGGCTTTTGTATTGCTTCACAGTAGACAAAGGATATAGAAATGAACATAAAATAGGTTGTCAAATTGTTTAATGATTCATTGCAGCATTGAATATTGGTTTCGGTGTATGGATCTTGATGGTGATGGTGTACTGTCCATGTATGAACTACAATACTTTTACGAAGAACAGTGTCAAAAACTGGATAATATGGCCATCGAACCTCTGCCATTTGAAGACTGCCTTTGCCAGATGCTTGATCTTGTGAAGCCAGAGAATGAAGGTGATGGATCCTTTTCCATCTCTATTTGTGGTGTCTTTGTTAACCAGGTTAATACAGCCATTCGGTATTTGGCATTTCAATGTTCTGTAAAGCCAGCTTGGCTAATTTTGTTCATCACATTTGGCAGGTAAAAAAGCCATCTGTTCCTCTAACTGTTTAATTTTCATCCAGTCTGAAAATTAACTTATGTGTGGGTCAAGATCAGTCAAAAAATTGCTAATCTTAGAATTTTCACTTCTATCTTGAGAATGAATATGGCTGCTCTTGGTAAGATGGAAACTTATTGTTTTGATTAATAGCTGATGAAAATCATCCTTAAGCCATTACAGTCATCCTAATTGAGGGACTCACAATTTTAGGCAATCCCAATCTGTCACTAGTTGTACCTGTTCAAGTATTAATAAAAACAATGCATTTAAATCTTAAATTTTACATGGGATTTGTGTTACAATCTAAAACCCTTCAAACATTTCAGACTTCTTTTCTGTTTCCAGGAAAAATAACTCTTCATGACTTAAAGAGATGTAAGATGGCAAACGTTTTCTTTGACACTTTCTTCAATATTGAGAAATACTTAGACCATGAGCAGAAGGATCAGTTTTCTGTGCTGAGGGTAAGGACAATTGGTACTTAAAAGGATTTTGTCTATAAATTTAATAGGATTCCTGAAGTCAATCTTAGTGTTGTAAGCTTTATCAATTTAGTATTAAGAGCCTTATAATATTTTAGGGCACTGAAAATGAAAATCAAGACATGTCTGATTGGGAAAAATATGCTGCTGAAGAGTACGATGTCCTAGTTGCTGAAGAAGCAGCCAGCGACCAATGGAATGATTGGCAAGTAGAGTTTACACCATTATCCCTCTCTGCTGAGTTAAACGAATAAAAGAAAGTTGAACAATTTGATACCTTTGCAATGAAGGAAGTGGTATCTTGAGTGTAATAGCACAATATTCTTCTGAGTCATTGTGGGTCACCTATTCTAATTTACTATTTCTGGTATTTTCTGCTGCCAAACAAAATGCTAATTATACTTTTATATAGTAGTATCATCAATTATTTCTACTACAGTCTAGAGGTAATTAAAGGTAGAAGTGTATGGAAATGAATTGTGCTGGAGCCGGCTTGCATGTCTTAAGGAAGTTTTAATTCAGCTTGTGCCCTCATTTAAATAGCTGGTATTCACTTATCTCTTCTTAACACAAGTGCCCCTTTGAGCCATGTCTCATAGGGATTAATCTGTCTAGGGAGAATCATGTCAGGCCCAGCTGTTCTCCTCCATTTTGGATTCTGATAGCACAAGCAATTAGCTAATTTTGCTAAGGCTGAGAGCAAAGGACATAAGTAGCAGCATTTGTTCTACGAAGGAATGCCAAATTGGCCTTTTTATTTAAAGCATCATGGATATTCTAACCTAGGCACAGTTATTTAATGTTGGTGCTATATGTGGGAAAAAGAGAGTGGTGTTATTATGATAGAAAATATTTACATACATATTTAAGGATACTGTGTTCTTTTTCTTGAAGAAAAAATTCACTAAAAAGGCCATCAACTGTTCTAGGATATATTCTATTAAGCAGGATGGTAGAAATATACTCTAATATCGCACAATATTTTTCTAATGATATTGACCTACTTGGGCATCAAGCTGGATGTCCATACATGCAGATAGATTGCTTAGTAGCTAATCCATCATTATGAAATTCTTTCCCCAGGAAGGACTACAGCTGTAGCCTTAATTTATGAGAAAAATCTGTGTGGGAACAGCCTTTAAAAGCCATGCCTAAATATTTTGACAGGTCATATATTTTAAGTTGATTTCTTTTAGTGATGCAGAGCTATTAACTGTGAGCCTTCCAAGTTAAAAGCGTTCCTGTGTTATTGGGGACTCTAGTGATTCATTAAAGATCATTATTATTAAATAATTTGATTAACCATCCTGAATGAAAAGATCATTAGAGAAATCCAGTATTGTGGGAACTGCCTGCAGCAAAAGCTCTCATCCCCTGCCCTTTCCACGTTACAGGCTCTACCCGCAATTCTCAGGATGCGGGGGGGGGGGGATGCTTCATCTCCCTCTCCTCTTTCATTGACAGAAGCAATTCTGTCAGCAGACTTAATTTATTGCTTCTATAACAGATGGTAACCAGTTGCCTCCAGAAAGTGCACAAATAGACAAATTTTTAAGACCTATATAATAAGGAAAGCTTTTCTAATATGTTACCTGCCGTCACACACTCACTTTCATCTGTGATTAATTCCAGAAGTAGTAAGTGTTTCTCATATCTGGATTTAACTGAGAGAAGCTGGAAACCCACTGAATAGCGCAGCTTACTTCTGAGTAAGTGAACATACAGTTCCAAAGTAAAGCTGCATTCCTATCTATATTTACTTCCCCCAGTGAACAAGTGGCACCCACTGAAGTATAAACATGCATATTAGGGCTGTGCAATGCTTGCTATTTAAAGGGGAAAAGGTGCTTCAAAGCATGCAAGGGCATTCATGCAGCACCTGTTGGTAACCCCTTAAAGCAGCTATGTCTTTTCATGAGCTCACACAGCTGGCCTCCACAGCTGCAGTGCAATCTTGGGAAGAGTCATTTGGTTTAAGGAGCTGTCAGAAGGTATTATATGCTCACACTGCACACTCCACACACATTTTTCCATAATGCATATTGTCTTTAAAATTCCTTTAATTAAGTAATAGCGCACAGTAGGATTTGCCTCTGTTTCCTCCTCATGTTATTCAGATGCTGGAATATAACATAATAAATATACAAGTTACTTTAACAAATGTGTATAGTCTGAATCTGTTCCCATTTCTTTTTTTTAGTTATGAAGCTGAACTGATTCCTGGTGATCATCAAAAGACCAACATACTAAAATATCAAATGGAGAAAAGACCTTTTTTTGATATGCCTTCCCATTTGGCAGATGTTGATTTGGATGATTATGACTATGAAGATGATTTTGAATAAACTATATTTGTAGAAGTATAAGGACTGTGTCTGCAGCAGGTCTGCTAAGAAAAGAGTAAAATTGAGTTTCTTGTGCTGCAAAATTAATACCTTCAAAATATCTAAATGGTTACATTTGTATGGAATGACACTTTTTATGTATTTATTCAATAGATTGTTGCCTATGAGATATACTTAAATTATTTATAGATACTCTTCCTTTAAGGAATTACAGTGTATCTTGTATAAAGTAAATTTACTGGCTTGTTTTTTACAAGATACTAGACTTTTTCTTTTTCTTGATCCCTATAATAATGAAGTCCTTGCTCTTGCAGTCTCCAAGCTAAAATCTTGTAACTTTGTCAGGATTCAAAGAGAAAAGTGTCATGATTGTGAATGGAGATCGCAGTTCAAAACTCAATTAAAGCATCACTGGATAAGCTAGATACACTGGTACATGTAGCAAATTATATCCTGCCTGAAAACAGGCTGTAATTTTCTACCCTTTAGCATTCATTTTGCTCTACTGACTCCAATTTAAAACCCGGCTTTTACTGCTCACTTAACAGTTGTGGATATTCTATTCCATGTCAAGGGAATCAATTGTAAGTTTTACTTGATCTGTGATGTGCACTAACCTTGTATGGGCATTTAGTGTGTTTCTTCAATGGTTGGCTAATGACACATTCCATGAATATTGTTACCAACAGTGTCAAAGTAGCTGAACAGTCTGATGCTTTATTTGCCTATATGAGGTGAGAGAGTGCTTATGGGGCAAGATAGATGTTGCTATTCTGGTTTTTAAAAAAGCATAATGTTTGTAGTGCCTTAATTATCCTTATGTTCACACAAGAAACAAAATATTGTAAAGCACAATTCTTGCAGTTAGGTTTTCCCAATAAATAAAAAGCTATTTCGTTTGCTGTGCAGATCTGTTAAACATTTAAAATATCATGTTCGTATTTTCAAATAAAGTTTTTTCATACATGTAATTCAGCAGTTCCCTTCAGCAAGTTTATTTTTCATTTTTTATTCATCAGATCATCACAGACGTTGTTGAAAGTGACTAAAACAGCCAATTTGAATACCAGAATCGTTTTCTTGAAAAATAGCAACTTTGAATAATATGATCTTAATAGCTGTAGACATTTTTCATACTTTGTAATCTACAGTGTAGAGTGACTTCAGTTTGCCTTCCAGAATTGGGGATTATAGCTTCCAGGAATCCCATATTCCTCAAACAAAGCTAAAATGTCCAATTTCACAATTTAGATATGATTCTGATAAAGCTATGTGACACTGTTCAGCTGTGGAACCACAAGCCACATTTTTATATTTGAGAATCTGAAATTAATTGTAACACTAGTGCAATTTAATGAAGGCTGACAGTCTCTATACACAATATTAGGAGGATTGAAAGTTTTTTTTTTCTATGTGTGAGGCTTCTCTTTTTCTTTCAGAGCAGGTTTTGGTGCCATATGATTTCTCTTGAATTGATAGTTCTCTTGTGATGATTCCACGTACCTGCATGCTACATAAGTAGAACTTAAGGTGAGCTGCAAGATGGCATTGCAAAGCTGAGGGAAAACCAGGGGAAAAAAATTTGTAACAGATTTATGTCCTGCCTTTCCCTCCAAAATGACACTTAAGTACCATGATCTGCTTTTTGGCAGGAGCATCTCTGCCTATAATTACCAATTCTTTTCCTTCATGTGGACCATGATCAATATCAAGCATTGTTTTAGGATTTGAACAGATTCCTTTGATTTTAGCTTTTTAGGGTTTTGGCTACAGGTGGAAAATTATATTGCTTAGATCCTAAGCTTATCAACTGAAAAAGGAGAACAGCAAGGTGAGCAATTTCTCAAGTTCGGGTCTATCTGTCTTGATGGAGCAGCCACTGTCAAGTCTGTTAGAAGTGACAGATGTATTTTGACACTATTGGGTCTTTTCTTATTAAATGTGCAAACAGACACCGGCTCTGTAGCTCCAGGAATGAACATGCAGGTCCCAAGAGCATTGGTGTAGTATGAATTTTAAATAATGCAAAAGTTACAATGTTAGCTGAGGAAAAATACTTGAACAACAAAGTAAATTCCAGACTCATTTCCCTTCATCCTCACTACTCAAAACATTACTTCTTGACAAAACACTCGTCTACGTTTCCAAAAAAGAAAGGGTTGTCGCTCAATGGTAGAGCCTCTGTTTTGCTACTTGGCCAATTCAGACACAGCTGGGAAAGAATCCAGTCTGAACTACGGAGAAGCTGCTGCCTACCACACAGCCCTGTCCTTCTCAACTGTGGCAACTTCCAGTTGTGTGAAGTTCGGCTCCCAGAATTCTCAGCAATGACGAAGCTGGGAGTTGAAATTCACACATGCAGAAGCTGCAAGGACAGAAAACACAAATGCAGAGCATACTGATTCAGATGGGCCAGTTCTCTGTCTTGGTCTAGGGACATTCTTCGGGTGCTTTTCTCAGTAGGCTTCATAGCATCACATGGTTTACAAGCATGTTGTCAAAAAACAGCCAGTGCATGTAAGACTGCTGTAGTCTGGAGTATAACATTAAGCAACAAACACAAGAAACACAGATTGTTTTATCACTAATGCTACACGTGTAAATCATAGTTGCATCCTATATTGCAATTCGCCCACTTTTTTCCTGACATCCATGCCTATGCCCTTTACATTTGTTCCCTAGTACCATGCTGCAGAATCTTCTTCATTTTCCCCACTATAAGAAAAATGACTTGCTTAGAAATACAAACAGATCGCTCAGTTTATTTTACAAACAGCTGAATATAAAAATGTGAAATAAAATGCCTTAAAAAAAAAAATCTGTAGTTTTAGCAGTCAATATTTTTTGCTGTGATACTTAAGGCAGCATACAAGATGCAAAGTTTGTGTATTTTTTTTTTCTGATTGACATTAATTTCTCTATTTTCGCTCTTCCTTTGAATCCACTGGCCTGCTTCTTGAAACCGGATTGTCAGCCTTATAATTTCAAGTTCCTTTTTCTTTTCCATTTTGCCATAAAACACTGAACTGCAGCTTCTTGACAGACTTTTCCCATCTACCACAGAGTTTAGAATTACATTTTGGACAGAAAGTCAAGTGTGGTTAGAAAAAAATGAGTGAGCTGATAACATCAGAAAGTTAGAAAATACTGGCTGAAGAAACACCCATTTTATATGGATTTACCAGTCCAGGTTGGGTTCTACCAAGTTGGGCACCCAAATAATTCTGGCAAAAATAGTTATAACCCATTCTATCCTTCTTAAATCTTCCAGCAGTCTTCCTTCTTTAGGTGTCCTAAACAAGAATAAGAGACTTTGTGACTAAGGTAACTTTTCAAAAGATAAATCTCTTAAAATATGCTCCCCCATAGCCTGTTACAGCTACTATAGTCTCTTCTAGATAAGTTACTCTTCCAGAAACTTTATACCTTCCCTATTTTGTAAACCAATTTTAATTGCTATTTAATCTGCACTCACTGGATTATATGAAGTCCAAATGGCTCATTTAATCAACATTTTCTTTTGGCTAAAATTCTCTAAATTCAGTCCATTCTACCTCTCATTTAAAAAAGTCCCATATTGAGAAAATATATAGCTCCAGAGGTTTACTCTTCTGCTATGAAAAGTTCCATGGTACCATATTGGTCTTTGAATAACAAAACAAGGAAGTTCTGCCATAGGAGAAGCACCAAATCCAAACCATGCTCACTGAAGCTAGAGTAGAAGAATGACGGATAATGGTTTGGATCAACTATGGCCAATTTTTGTCCATTTCCCTTCTATTGTTTCCAGTGTCGGAGGGGGTAGGATCAAGATAATAGGAAGTTTTTAAATCCAGATGATTCAAACCCATCTCTAATATGCATCTTTACACACAATTGCTAATACCCATGGAATGAACTTACATAAAACAAAAGAATTATTGTAGCAAATTACCTTTATGGGGGTTAATTGACATATTCTTTCTCTACTAGTGAAAGAAATATATTACTAACAAAATATTTTAAAGCTTTGTATAGAATCATCCTTACTTGCTCAGCACCAACAACATCAATATCGGCATCTTCAGTTGGAGCCTCTGCTGAATCCTCTACCTTGACTGGAGCCTGGGTACTAAAATGAGAAAAAGAAAAATTTATTTCTCACCTTCCAAGTGAAATCATGTAATCTAAATAGGGTTTGGGGGGTTGGTTTGGGGTTTTTTTTTTTACAATAATAATTCTGAGAAATCAATATTTAGTTGATATATACAATAGGGGAAGAAATTAGTTTAATGTAAGACACAAATTTCATCCCTAGCATTACCAGTTTCTTTTTTAAAAAAAGATAATTTCTGTCTGAAACTAGAGAACTGTTGCATGTTGTCCCAGACAATGCTAAGGTAAATGGATCAATAATCTGATTTACAATATGATGACACTATATATTCTTTAATGAAGACTCCATATAAATGCCATATCTTTCCTGCCCATATGCTCAGTGAAGCTCCACTCCTTTTAAAATAATTAAACCCAATGAATTTAGATGTTTCTAAATAGAACTTTTTTGAATAGTAGAATATCCTATATCAAACCTGCTTTATAACTTTCAAAAATGGTTTTCTATGTGGCAGACAGAAAGCATTGTGGCAGTTGTCATAAGTTTGAAAACCATGCTGGAATTACATAATGCATTAATGTTCTGGATTGTGGCCCATGGATATTAAGTTATAATTATCCCCACCATCCAATAATGTTTAAATCACAGCCAGACTGCCCTCATGTCATCACAGAATCTTGGACATACCTTGAAGAAAACACTTCAACTTCTCATGTATCTCATAAACTAGAGTTGATGGACATCCTGTTTATGAAAGCCACTCCAACAACTCTTCTTCTTACCTATGTTTTCTCTTTGGAGTTGCAAGACCCAATGAGAGGGAATATTCTTGGTGATAACTATCATGAGATTTTAGCCTCTTCCTGTTTCTCAGTCCCAAGGAAGGAAGGCAGGATGGATATTGAGTATCAGAAGTCCTGTTTGCTCTGTCTGTGTGACTGTTTTTGGACCAGGATCCTGAAACGGACAATTTAATATTTCATACTTTAGCAGAACTCAGTCATGTATCTCACCAAACATTGTCTGAGGTAGAAAAATACAGACATTTCTGAGGCCTAAATCCATCCTACTTAAAGTGGGATACCAGGAATGTTGACTTATGTTGTTATCAATGCCATTATCCAACATGCAAGCTTATTTATACATATTTCAGAAATGTCATACCTTCAGATAATTTCCTTTTAAAAGAAGATGTCCTCGTAATGCTCACAGATGGCCACTCGTGTGAGCTACTGATAGCAGAATTATCATCATCATCGCTGGCCAACAAAGAAGTTCTGTACCAAGCCAGTGAGTGCCAGGTATCTTCTTTACAAAGTGCTGTTTCAGGTACATACCTTAGCAAATAACTATATCTGAATGTGAAGATTGGGAAGAAAAATATTAAGTTGATTTTTTCCCTATTGTAGTTAGAATTCTTTCAGAAAAGTTACAAATATTCATGTCATTAGACTTCAATGTGACAACCTCCAACCTTGGTTTTTAGCTCCCAGTTATGTAATTTGTGCTAAAGTGCTTTAACTGTCCTAGATTTTAATAGCACTGTTTTTTAAAGTTTGTGCTCTTTTTTTTCCTGTAAATATTCTGCACTTTTTAACAAAGTGGTATATAAATTAAATAACAAAACTGACTGTACTATGGGTGGTTCCAAATTATATTTAATTACTTAATTATTATATTTTAACTTAGAGATTGGTTACAACATCCACTTTTCATGACTTGCTCATCAACACATGCTCCTCTGCATGCATAAAGACATCTAATGATACAACCATTACCGAAACATGTACATCTGCATTGATCCAAAAAGTCACCCTAAAATATGAAAAGCTCATCTGCTCAGTCTAAATACAAATGTATGTAACTCAAACAGCTTAAATAAAACTAAAATAAAAGCTAAAGCACAGCTACACCTCTTATTCTGGCACAGAATGCAAGAGCAGATGCATCACCTCTTGACAGGGTCTGGACCTCTAAAATTAAATAATTTAGGTATTTTTAAAATGGTTGAACTTTTACAAAATTGTAAATATAAAATCTCATATAAATACACCAACATTTCTGGGGCAAAACTGTCAAATATTATGATATGTTTGATGTTTTTTTCAAGGCACGTAGGCCACTGTGCAACTTCTTATGACTGTGTTCAGTCATTCCCCACTAATTTCTGTATCACATTGACCCTTGTAATACTCAACTTTTTTTCCCAGAAGAAACTAGCATCAAAAATAAAACTTACACAAGTCTTTTATCAGGCTTTAGAAGCTTATTGGAGAATTCACTGAGGATGATCAGAAAGTTTAAGTTAGGAGGTAGGCACTTCCCCTCCATTCCAGCTGCCCCTTGGAAGGCGAATTCAATACCTTCCCTTTTAACAGGAGTAAGGAAGAAACAGAAACAGAAAGGATATTTACAACACGAACACCCTTCAAACAGAAGACTGAGGGACAACATGCAGTTGGCACATACTTGTGTATCATAGCTACGGATTCTCGACTTTTCACCTGGTCCCAGCCAAATGTCAAAGAAAAGCGCCGGGCAAGCTCTTTAATGTTGTTGAAGGAGGTGGAAGAGGAATCCAAGCTATTGCTGTTACTGCTGCCATCACCTTGGCTTTCAGTATGCTTCTGAAACAGCTGCAGATCACAGACATTGGTTTAAAGTTTATAGGCAATAAAACAGTCCCTAGGAGGACATACCTGGCATAAAACCAACCCATTCCTTGCTCAGGATGCAAGCTTACACCAATTTATACAATAATCCAATTATATATTTTAAGAATCCCACCAAGCTGAACAAGAACGTGAGTGGCACAGATGGGAATCAAGAGCAGGAAGGTGAAGGAAGAGAAGCAAGATACCATTGGCAAAGACATATTGAAATATTTGCTGCAAAGAAAATAAGCACTTCCTGTTCCCATTTAAAGCAAGGATTATGTTTTTTGTAATGAGCACAAAATACTCTTTCTTATGCACACCAGAAAGAGCAGTTACCTGTCTCCAGTTATGTGCTGCTGACTATAAAGACTTCTTGATAAGTACTTAGTTGTTCATATAAAAAACAGTATATTTTCTCTTAATCTTGACAACATTCTATTTTTAGTTATTGTATTGCATTACAGCATACACTATTGCAGATTTAAATTTTAGTATGCCCTTAAAAAGTAGAGGACAGAATAGCAGTATATAGATAAAATGTAGGTGATAAAACTGGTGGTTTCTTCTAAGTTCTACTTTGGAATTGGAATGTGTGGCAAAGTAAATCTGGAGTTGCAAATCCATGTTCAGCTTGCAAACACATGCCCAGGATGAGGTGGAACACTAAAAAATAGTTAAGCACCCACACAGACCCCTTTCCCCTACAAATTGTCCTCTCCCTAGGTGAATTAGGTTAAAAATAATGAGTATCATTTCATTATTTATATATAAAAGATACAGTGGTACCTCGGGTTACGAACGCCTCTGTTAACGAACTTTTTGGGTTACGACCAGCTCCGGCCGCAAAAATTTACCTTGGTTTGCGAACTCCGCCTTGGGTTACGAACCGGATCCGCGGCCATTTTCCCTGCTGCCACGCGGTCGCGGCTTCCTGTGGCCAGAACGCCGGAGCAAGGAGACGGTTGGTGAGGCTTGTGGTGTGTTTTGTGGCGTTTTGGAAGGTTTTTGGTGTGCTTGTCAGCATGGCTCCAAAGAAAATGCAGAGCAGG